GACTTTTATTCTGGCCTATAGTGTCACTGCCTGGCAGATAGGAAATTTTCAAACATATCTGTTAAGTTAGTGATTTAAAGAAGGTCCTGCTGCCTGTTTTGCCAAGAGAGTGCGTAAGAACCTTAACCCTAGTAATCACAGCAATAAAAAGTATCTTTTCTTCACAAAGCAGTGGAGAACTGACACTGCCCACTGAATGGAGAGAATCAGAGGAAGAACCCAGAACTGTGTTCAGAGGTTGTACTAAAGTTTCCCAAAAGTAATTCGCAGCTAACACTGACATACAATATTTACTATGTACCAACCATTAATTTAAGTTCTTTATATATATTAACTCATTTAACCTCCAAAATATCTGTATGAATAGTTATTATTCTTAAATCACACATAAGAAAACAGGTTTAGAGACCAAAAAAAGTTGCCCAAGACTGCACAAATGCTAAGAACTGAAGGTGGATTCCAAACAGAAGCATTTTTTAGATTCCTAATACTTGCTATGTTTGTTTCCCACGGCTTCCACAACAAATCATAAATGTGGTAGTTCAAGACAGCAGAAACTTACTCTCACAGTTCTGGAGGCCAGAAGTCTGAAATCAAGATTAGTTCAGGGGAAGGTCTTTCTTTGCCTCTTCCAGCTTCTGCTGGCTTCCTGCAGTAGGTGCTTCTGTTTTTGCATGGCCTTCTACTTTGTGTCTTCTAATTTTCTGTTTCTTGAAAGGACACCTGCCATTGGATTTACAGCCCACTCCAAATCCAGGATGGGCTCTAAATCCAGGATGAGTTCATCTCAAGACCCTCACCTTACATCTTCAAAGACCCTGTTTGCAAAAATGTCACATTTGCTGAAACTAGAGGGTAAGATATGAACACACCTGCTCTCTCCCTTTCCCTCCCCTCCCTTCTCTTCTCTTCTCTCCCTCTCCCTCTCCCTCTGTCTCTTTTCTTTTTGGTAATGCCAGGGATCAAACTCAGGCCCTCACACGTGCTAAGCATATGTATTCTACCACTGAGCTACGCTCCTAACCCTCTTTTTTTACTGAGATATAATTCACATTGTCATACAAGTCCATTTAAACTATAAACTTTTAGTATATTCACAGATACGTACAACCATCACCACAGTCAATTTTAGAACCTTTTCAAAGAAACACTAGGGCTGAGGATTTAGCTCAGTGGCATAATCACCTGCCTGGCAAGCACAAGGTCATGAGCTCAATCCCCTGTACCAAAAGAAAAAAAAGAAGGCTAGAAAAAGAAACTATATCCACTAGCCATCATATTTCTGTGCTTATCTCTACCTCCTCCCCAGCACAAAATAAGTAGTGCATTATCTAATCTACAGATTTGCTTAGCCTACACTAGCTAGACTGGTGGTGGTGAACCTGTGGCACACATGCCACAGCAGGCTGTTTGTTATCACTAAATACTCTAAAAGGTTTGCCACAATCCTCAAGACTTTCATGAGCCCAACATGGTCTTTTGTGACTGACTTCTGTTATCTGGCATGTTTTCAAAGTTCATCTACATGGTAAGAAAAAGCAATACTTCATTCCTTTTAATTACTGAATAATATTCCTTTATAGAGATGTACATGTTTTATTTATCCTTTCATTCACAGATCTGTATTTGGGTTCTTCCCACTTTATGAGTCATGCTATTCTGTAGAGATGTCCATGTGGACACGAATTTTCACTCCTTTTAGGCATATAACTAGGAGTAGAACTATTAGGTCATAACCTCAATTATTTGGAGAAATTATTTGCTCAATTATTTGAGGAACTCTTAGACTTTCTAGCAAAGTGGCTTTACCATTTCACATTTTAAGGGTTCGAACTTCTCCATATCCTCATGAACACTTTCTGTTGTCCAAGTTTTTTTCATTCTAGTCATCCCAGTGTGTGGCTGTCTCATGGTTTTGACTGCACTTTTCTGTTGACTTGTGTTGAACACCTTTTCATGTGTTGACTGGCCATTTGTACAACTCAAAATGTCTATTCTGGGCCGGAGATTTAGCTCAGTGGCATAAGCACCTGCCTGGCAAGTGTGAGGTCCTGAGTTCAATCCCCTGTACTGCAAAAAAAAAAAAAAAAAAAAAAAAAAAAAAATGTCTGTTCAGATCCTTTGTCTATATAATTACTTGTCTTTTTATGTCTCTGTTCTTAATACACTCTTATCAGAGGTATATTTGTAAGTATGCATGAAATTTCCCTTTAACTTTTTTTTTTTTTTGGGGGGGAGGTACTAGGGATTAAACTCAGGGGCTTCACACTGAGCCACATCCCTGGCCTTTTTAAATTTTTAGCCAAAGTCTCGCTAATTTGCTAAACTGCCCAGACTAAACTCAAAATTGCAATTCTCCAGCCTCAGCCTCATAGGGCACTGGTATTACAAGAATATGCCACTATGCCTGACTTTATTTCCTCAATGGTGTACAAGTTTTGAAATGTGATGAAGGCCAATTTATTTACTTTTAATTTTGTTGTTCACATTTTTGCTGTCATATCTAGGAATCCTTTAACAAATCCAAAGTTATAAAGATTTACATCCTGTATTCCAAGAGTTTTTACATCTTTATGGGGCCACTATTCAAACACTGTATACACTCTAAACAACTCATTATAATAAATAGTTAATTCCACCAAACAGCCCAGATATAGAGCCACATGTTAAAAAGAGAATAGGACAGAGGAGACATGATTAGTGATCTGAGATCACTGATCCCAAAAGGATCTAGACACTTTACTTTCCAGTAACCTAGACTATGAAGACAATGAGTAGCTGCATTTCAGAACCATCAAGGAAAACACTACAACCCTACAAAATGTCTCACACATTAATTTCACTATCAGCTACTATGTATAACTAAAAGAGTCAAAATTATGAAGCCAATGGCAGACTTGTGTTTAGATCCTGACTCTTGATACTTACTGTATTTGCTTGGGGATATTATTTCACTTCTCCCATATGTCAGTTTCCTGATAATATTTCTGCTCCAAAAATAAAATGAGATAATATATACCAAAAGTTTTACCAAAAGATATAGTAGTTGCTTATTAAATATTAACATCTTTTTCTTCCTTTTGAAATGAAAATAAGCTTTATTAATTTTTTTTTGAGAGAGAAACAGAGGGGCGGGTGAACTCAGTGTCTGTACATAGGGTTAAACCTTATTCTTAAGGTAGCCTTCCTTGTACCTACTTAAAATTACTGACAAAGAATTCTTTTGGGGAATGGAAGTAAGAAGGGTAACTTCGGACTATGAGGCAGTTCAGGCGGAGCATCAGATAGCTCTGGAAACCTGAGAAGCAGCAGAAGAGATTCACAAAGCAGTAAAAAGACCATTTCAGTTGTTCCCGATAAGCTGTAAGTGCTACAGCCATTAAGGAAGTATAATAGCATCAATAATAATTTAAAAATCTATATGCATCTGCTTTGCCAGTACAGGTAAATGGTCTCCATTCAGTTCCTAGCTCTATCTTTGGTTAAATTCTGTATTTAATGGAAGGCACTTCCTTAGGTTAGAGCTGAAAAGCCCTATCACCCCTGCTAACAAATACACAAACCACTGAAAAGTGAAAATACTAAACAGATGCATTAGCTCAAAAAAGTAATAATCCACCTCCTCATAACAACTACTAATAGATTAGTCTTAGACTGAATATCAAATTAAAATGTGTACCATATCTGAAGTAAAATAACTCTCTAGTAAAATAACTAATCAAATCTTTCCAACAAGGCTACTAAGTGTCTAAGTTACTTCTTCAAGTCAACTGTCAGCTCACTGCAATGGGAGTATCTCTTTTCACACACTGTATAGGCAAAAGCAGCTTCAACACTACTCAAAACAGTTCCAAGAGCACACTCACATTCTCACCCAGCACTACTATCATTTCCAGATGACACACAAACCAGCGAACAAAAGAAGATACAGGATATCCAGTTCTGCAAATGACCTCTCAGTTACCTAAACCTATTTGTTACCCAAGCTTTGCAATTTGCAGTAGTACTGTATGTACAGTCAAGACTATTATCCAGGAGTTAACTGCTTATTTTTCTGTCATTTTTTGTTTTATCTATTATTTCTCAGGAAGTTGTTAGTATTCTCCAAGTTCAGACACCACATTCCACCTTCAATTAACACTGTACAGACTTGTACAAAATTTTCCACATATCTAGAAACAATAAAACTCTAAATGCTAACACATGGTCTCTTATCATCTGAATTACTAATAAAGTTTAACAAATTCAAACAAAACAAAACTTAAGAGACATATGCTTAACAAGCATGTTGAACTATCATTTAGTATGAATAGCTCTAGTCCCTAGATTCTTGAAACATGGATGGCAGCCTAAAATAATAGTTCAAGAAAGATTTGTCATAATTCAGTTCTTCAGTATACCATGGTTTTAGACTGACTCCTAGTTTATGGCCAATACCTAATATAAAAGTGTTTAATATAACATTTACAAAGTGCAGTGACATATATTCTTTCATTTGTGTTTCACAATCTAATGACATGTTACTATCATCTACATTTTATACATAAGGAAACCAGCAGAGATGAAATAACTTGCCCTCATTAAAATGGCATATAAGTATTTGAGCTGGAGCTCAAAGTAAGCTTTAAATCACTAAGCCTGTTTCCATTCTATGATAATCATGTCTGCTTTCACTTACACAGGAGGCTATTTTTATCAAGCTAACTGCTCTAACAATATAGTAATCAGTAAAGTTACTGAGTAAACTAAAGCAAAGTCCTCTGACCAAACCTCAAAAACACTCTAGGTCACCCACTAAAGAACAGATTCCCTACCCCAATTATTTAATGGATGGGCTCTTTTGTTGTACAACCCAGAGACTGAATGAATATTAAATAGATGACACACAGCTAACAGCAAACTAGATACAGAGCACCACTGGATATACTTCCTTGACTTCACTTACTTGAATGAAATTTTAAATATCAAACTCCAAACCAAATCTTAAGAAAAAGCTTTACCTGTTCACCTGCCTCTTGAAACTCTTTGCATGCATCAGGGAACACATCATAAATAACGAGTGGATAGCCATGTTTCATGAGATTTTTTGCCATTGGATTGCCCATGTTGCCCAGTCCAATAAATCCAACTGGAGTCTTAGAAGCCATTGACCTAGAAACAACTGATACCAATATATCATTTTCAATAAGGGCAAATAACATTTTTATTATAAACATTTACTCAGCTATTTTCTTTCTTTCTTTTTTTTTTTTTTTTTCAATACTGGGGATCAAACTCATGACTGTGCGCTTGCCAGGCAGGCACTTATGCCACTGAGCTAAATCCTCAGCCCCTACTCAGTATTTTCTATTAGAGAAAATTTATAAAAGCTAATCTTAAAATGACTCAATAATATTAAAAGATATCAACAGTGTACAAACAAAGAAAGTTGCAATTAGTTTTCTAGAAAACATTAAAATTTTAGGTAATCTTTTTTCTATAATGTCCCTCTTTTTAACAATAAATAAAATAAAATTTTTAACAATAAACTCAGTAATGTTATCATTTATAAAACACATTTTATATGTTACCTATTATATGATGTATTTTGGATTTCTTGTATCTATATTAGCTCACTCATGAATGCGTCTAAAACACTGAAAGACGTGTATCTTGGACTAGGCCCAAGAACTCCCCCTCCCAGTTACTGAAAGCATCCCCTCCAATAGTATAAAATCAAATATTGGGCTAGGTGCCGGGCGTGGTGGCTCACGCCTGTAATCCCAGCGCTCAGGAGGCTGAGGTGGGAGGATTGTTGCGAGTTCAAGACCAGCCTGGGTTACAAAGTGAGCTCAAGGCCAGCCTGAATTGCATTGCGAGACCCCGTCTCAAAAAAGACAAGAAAAAAAAAATTGGGCTAGGGCTGTAACTTAGCAGTACAGCAGGTACTCAGCATGTACAAGGCCCTGGGTTCAATTCCCAACACTACTACTCCCAAAAAACTTAATAAGATGTTACCCCCAAAGCATGTATTTCAACCAAAGTTATCATTTTATAAATGTAGTCCTAGGTAAAGAAGCAAATGCTTCCATAAGCCTTCAGTGACAAGGGTAATAGTGTGTGGGCTTTGACCAAACAACATTATACCTTTAGAAAAAAGTTAGAAAGAAAGAAGAGGAGAGGAGAGGAGAGGAGAGGAGAGGAGAGGAGAGGAGAGAAAAGAGAGGGGGAGAGAGAAAGAAAAGCTCTTCAAGCTGTACATGAGACTTGGTTTTATTTTTTCTTTTTTATAAAAGACTTTTCAAAACCATACTGGGGGAAACACAATTTCAAAATAATGTAAGAGAATACGAAAACAAGCAGAAGAAGGAGGAAGAAGAAGAGAAAGACGAAGAGGAAGACGACGAAGACAAACAAGAAGAAGAAGAAATTTTTACAATACCACAGAAATAACATCAGATACAATCTCCCAGTCTTTGGAACAAGACTCAACAAACACCACTCAACAAATATTCACTGCCAGAGCTTGGAGACAGACAGAATGACGTGCTCCTTTCCTTTACAGGAAAGCTCACAAGCTAGTGAAGGAAGCAAGAACACCTCCCGTGCCAGCTTTATTTTTCCTTTTTCGTTCACAGAATCCAGGTTTAACATTATGCAGTGCGACAATTAATCACTCTTAAATTTCAGATAATCTCAAATGATTGATCCCTGCTCTCCCGTAAACTTAATCTAAATATAATAAGATTTCCTAAAAGCAAATTATTTGTGCCTTCAATGCTTAACCAACAGAGATCTTAAAGGGTTAGAAGTATATTTAATTCCTTTTAATGTGATAGGTGACTCTACCAATCCCATTAAATGTGGAAGATTTGTCTCTTTTTCTGGAGTTCCATGACAGAAGAAGACACCTAATTGGAATTTAATTTTGAAATTAAATAGAATTAGAATTATATTTTGTAAGAAATCTCATGTTCATTCATAAGCAAGTAACAAAAAATAGCCTGGGATTTAGCTCAGTGGTATAAGTGCCTGCCTGGCAAGCTCAAGGTTGTGAGTTCAATACCTGGTACCAAAATAAATATAAATAAATAAAAAATAGACTAAGAGAAAATACAGCACTACTGTGCCAAACAACTCTGTTAAGGTTGGAAAGGTGTAATTTAACAACCTAAAAACATTAGAAACTAGGAAGACTATTTTAAAGGAAATTAATTTAACAGGCAACTACTTTAGGTGAAATACGTAACAAATATGGCAAGGTAGAACCACAATTCAGTCACACACTCAACAAATGCTAAGCAATTGTTCATATGTGCAGCCCCAAATGCTACAGAGATACAAATGAGACATAGTTCTAGCCTTCAACAATCTTAAAATTCAAGAGGATACCCAGCTGGAAACTATCATTTTCATTGTTTTGTTGGGTTGGGTTTTATTCTCTTGAGAATACACTCAAACAATAACACATGACAAGTAAGGATTAAAAAAAAAATTTAACACTGATACAGAAGGAGAATTTATGGTTTGGGAGGTTGAAGAAGTTAGCATTTGACCTACCTTCGAGGGTAAGAGACTGAAGGTAGGCAAACTAGGAAAGCCCAAAGTAGTATGAGTAACAGTAACAGTTAATATTTACTATACTTTTATCACATACCAGACATTGCACTAAACATTATATATTTCCTTTTAGCCTATCTTTCAATTGAGAACTCTGATGGTTAACAAGTTATAACTAAAGTGCTTCAAATTTTACTAAGCTATAAAACCAAAATTTAAATCCATCCAATCTGACTCCAGATTCTCCACCTATAACCACAGTATAACACTGCTCCCCATTTGCTTGCCAGTGAAACAAAACAGCAGGAGATTAAAAGTAGAACAAGTAATGTGACTCTAATATGGAGGATGAGGAAGGATGAGTTCAATTCCCAGTACAAAAACAAAACAACAACAAAAACCCCTATATCCCAATACATGGGAGAAATGGAGAAATTCCTGCTGAGCATATCTAAAGAAGAGATAGATAAAACAGAGAAGCATAGGAAAATGATGGGAATCTTGAACAAACAATATAGGAAAGAATTACAATCCATGAAACAGATTCAAAGAGATATTCAGGAAATTAAAAACTCAATTGAAATGCCAGAAATTTAGCTCAGTGGCATAAGCGCCTGCCTTGCATGACTGTGAATTTGATCCCCAGTACAAAAAAAAGAACTCCACTGAAAGCTGGCAAAACCACTTGAAAGAAACTGAAAATAGACTTTCAGACCTTGAAGACACACTTGCAGCTGGAAAGTTCATGAAAGGAAGTATCTCTTAAAAAATAACAAGGAACCAGGAAATAACAATTCAACAGCTGCAAGATAACACAAAGAAAAATATTATTGATAAGTGTCGGAGAAAAAACCAGGGGTCAACACAAATGACATAAAAAGCTATTACTGATTGTAAGAGCACAAAATTTCCCAGGCATGGGAAAAGGCCTGACATCAGATATGTGAGGCATATAGAACTCCAATTAGCCATAATCAAAATAAATCTATACCAGACATATATTTAAGATCCTAGAAATTCAGCACAAGAACAGAATATTAAAGGCTTTTAGAGAAAAGAAACATCACTTACAAAGGAAAACCCATCAGAATCACGGTAGGCTTCTCAACATGAACTATCAGGTTAATAAGAGCTTGGAGTAAAGTGTTTCAAGTCCTGAAAGAAAACAACTTCCAACCCAGATTGATATACTCTGCAAAACTATCTTTCAAAATTAATGGAGAAATAAGATACTTCCATGATAAAGAACAACTGAAGAAATTCATGACCACCAAACCAACCCTATAAAAAGTGCTGAAGGATAGCGAGAGAGAAAAATGACCACATTTCAGGAACAGCAGCAGAGGGGGACTGCCAAGCAGAGGAGGCAATGGAACAGAGGGGAAGAGTGGGGGTCAATGGCAGGAGGATAGCACAGCAGAGGTAAGCCAGGGTATATCAGTCACAGCCATTAATGTACATGCGCTCAACTCACCAATAAAAAGAAACATAGGCAGAGTGAATCAGGAAACAGGATCCATCAACCTGCTGTAACCAGCACCGCACATAGGCCGCTGCCAGGGTAGGGACAGCCAGACCCAAGCCCCTCTCCATGAGCCAGCACCATTCACGGACTGTGGAGGGAGAGAACTAGGCCTCACCAGGAGGTGATCCCCGCCTGGAAACCAGTGTCATGCGTGAGCTGCTGCCAGAGTGGGGACAGCCAGACCCACGCCTCTCTCCCTAAGTCAGTGGCATTCAAGAAATGAAGAGGGAAAGAACAAGGTCTCACCAGGAAGGATACCCAGCTGGAAACTATCATTTTCATTGTTTTGTTGGGTTGGGTTTTATTCTCTTTTGTTTAAATCTGATGGCTTGAGCAGCTATTTAAAACATAGCAAGCCATATTATGATACCTATTTTGGATTTACTAGTGGCTTATTTTGAAGTCCTTTATTACCTTTACTGTTTTGTTTTCATTGTTTCTATTCTGTTCTGTTCAATTTTTACTATGTTCGAAGGTATCTGCAGCTATTCGGAAGACAACAAAAGGCACTGCTGATTCTGTAAGGTTTTTAAGTTCTGTATCACCTATACTGGTTTATTTTGATTGGTTTTATTCTGTTTCCCTTGGTTTTATCCTCTTTAAAATAAAAAATAAAAATATACTATATTTATATAGAAGAAACATATTTGACTCAGAAGGAAATTCATGGACTGAAGGTCAGAAGAGAGAAGATAATGTTTCATGTGATGGGGACCCAGAAAAAAGCAAGGGTAATTTACCCATCAATCAGAATGGACTGAAAGCTATGGGGTTTCTATACAACGGAAAGTTGCTCAGCTACAAAGAAAGATAATCTCAGGGCTCTTGTAGGTAAATGGATGCAACTTGAGTTCATGCTCATGGATGAATTGGTTAAGACTCATATAGGTGAACATTGTGTTGTCTCTCTAGTATAAAAAACTAAAGGAGTTAGCCGGGCATGATGGCTCACACCTGTAATCCCAGCACTCAGGAGACTGAGACAGGAGGATCATTGTGAATTCGAGACCAGCCTGGGCTACAAAGTGAGTTCAAGGTCAGCCTGAACTGCATAGAGACCCTGTCTCAAAAAGACAAAAAAAAAAAAAAACCTAAAG